ACTCCATTTTGGGTCACGGGGGTCGCTGGTGCCCATGTCCAGCAATCACTGTGCGAGGGGGCGGGTACACCCTGGACGGGTCGCAAGTCCATCACAGGGCCACATAGAGACAAACGAGACAAACAACCATTCACTCTTCTCATTCACACCTAGGGACAATTTATAGTTACCAATCAGCCTAACATGCATGTTTTTGGTCTGTGGGAGGAAACCAGAGCACCCGGAGAAAACCCACGCATGCACAGAGAGAACATGCAAACTCCACCCAGAAAGGCCCCTGGACCGAGGTTTGAACCAAGGACCTGCTCGCTGAGAGGCAGCAGCTCTACCAGTTGCGCCACCGTGCTGCCTGCGTGTAGTGACCTGTCACTGAGAAATATTCCTCGGCGCTTACCTTGAAACAAGACTACTCGTCAGCTTCTCCTCGGGGAGGAGAGCTCACCGAATGACCGGAGGTCGACGTGCCGGGCCAAGTATTCTTAACAAAGGTTGGTCATCTACACAACTTTCCTTCTTCGTTCTTCTGACAGTGCTATTAGCTTGCTGAAGAAAAAATGGGAGCCTACTTCCCGCTCTTAACGTAATTTATACGGACCGGGTGGGGCCCACACAGCAGGTGGGTGTGGACTAAATTTTTCAGTGCAATACTTTGCATATCGGGATAAACCCATCAGCGACAGCCTTAAAGGGTGAAGCTTATACGAAATAGAACGTTTCCACCCTCCGTCCCTCCATCCTGGTCCTCCTGCCTGCCAGGGCTCGAATCTGGCTTTTGTGAGCAGGTGAGTCCGGAGCTCAGGGTCTGGCCTCGCGGGCTTCAACGGCTCGGCAGCTCGTATGATCCTTCGCGGTGACACCGCTCGCTCGAATTTTGTCGTCGATCACCAAACACAAAAAAACGCCTGGACTTCAGAATTAAACACGGCGTTGTCATTATTGTTTTTAAAATCTTAAAAATAGATCCAGCCGCTGCTCCGCATCCAGAGAAATTGCAAATGGCGGCTCAGTGAAAAGTTTCTGAGATCAGTGACTCCTCCCCCTGACCAATCAGAGTCCTGCATTCACGTTTCGGACCGGACTCAGCTCGACTGAGCTCGCTCGGTCCCACCAGAGAAGCAGGGATGAAAAGAGGTCCTGAATCAGCCTCAAATCAGCTAAAAATACTAGCTAAAGTGCTGGTGCAAAAGGGTTCTTTCTGTGGCGGGCTGCCCAGATATGGGGCTGATTAGGGGCAGTGCAAAAGGGGCATAAGTGGCTTTAAGAATCAGTTGGACTCCTGGCAAGGACCAATGCAGACATGTGCCTGTTTTTAGTTTTCTACATTCACCTTATACTCTAGCTGTTTTTGCTACTTTTTTGCCATCTTATTTTAATTTGTAAAAAATAGAAAGAAAAAAATCGGTATGCCTCTTTTATAATTGTCTATTGTTGTCGCTGTTGTCCATTGTTGTCATCATCCTTTGTTGAAATCAGGTCTCTCATGCAAATGTGTCCTCGAGGCTCAATGGGATTTGCCTGTCTAAATAAAGGTTGAATAGAGACGCGTATTTAATAGTATTGTTGAAAAAATATGAAAACAAACAAACAAAAAATCACTGTTATTGAGATTACAGTAGTCCCTCACCTATCGTGGGGGTCATGTTTCAGACACCCCCGCAATATGTGAAAATCCACGAAGTAGGGACATTATATTTTAGTATTTATATATACTTTAAGGCTTTATAAACCTTTCCCACACTCTTGCAATGTTCTTAACAATGTTCTAAACTCTCTAAATGCTCTAAAACAATTTCCAGCAGGATCAATAAAGTTCTAGCTTATCTTATCTTATCTTAAAAGAGCACAGCGAAAGACAACAGACAGACTGGTGCTACAGTTACTGAGCCATTCAGTGCCAGGGGGCGCTTTTATTTACAATAAAAGAACATACACTCTGCAGAAATTATGTGTGGTAAAGTCTTTGGACACGTTTAACTGAAGCAGTATAGGGATTGAGTGAAGGATGTAATGACTCCTAAAACAAACAGCAAAGTTCTGATCACAGGCAGGGGAAGTAATTAATGTTTGTTGTTCTTTGTATACAAATTTAACTGAAATATGTGTCTTTAGATTTTATAATTTAGTGTTCAGTTCTCGTCTCTAAATTCAAACCATCCTTCTCTTTAAGATCTACAAGGAACTGTATGATCCCAAACTCATAAAGAACGTTGTTTGCAACAATATCAACAGAATATTCACACAATCAAAGATTTATTACTCTTGAACCTTCCTTTAAACTAACAAAATGTTAGGAGTAAATTCATGCAGTTTCAGATGGCTCGTCTTTCCTGTTGATATTACTATTGGTGAGCCAAGCTCGATGCTGAGTTGTAACATTTGTTAGCCTTAATGCTTTCTCAGTTTTCAAAACCTATTGAAAACTTTTCTTTCCTGATTCATCAGCTTTGTTTGTGCGCACTTTAACCCAAGAAGACACAACCATTATTGACCTCTCACACACGTTTACAGAAGTGGAAAGTTGCGTTCGGTTAGTTCATCCTACCCAGATGGAGGAAGTGTGACGTCAGTTGGGAACTATGTATTGCCGTTGTCCTAAAACAACTTTAATCTCAAAGATTTTATAGAGGTTCAGGCCAAATGAAGCTTTGAAGCTTTTGAGAGTTATGTAGTTTAAGGATGGCAACACTTCCTCTTTGGTCTTGGCCCCGCTAGTAATAACCTTTGTTTAAAGAACTATCTACAACAGGTAAGATATTTGTAACATTTTACCAGAACCCCTCATCTACACAATCACTTCATGTGAAGTAACACGCTGACTCACTGACTCTCACTATTTTAAAATGACGGGCCATGATCTGTTGATAACTGATAACCACCATTTCCTGAATGCCATTACACAACCTCTGATAAAAAGTGAGTGCTCTTTTGAGGGTGTTCATCAAGGGGTGCATGTATATATATATATATATATATATATATATATATATATATATATATATATATATA